ACACCCTTTTATCGCAAAAATGTTGCATTCCTGTTGGAAAGTATTTTGAACGTCTCTTGAACTTGTTTTGAAAACTTCTCCATTAGACTATGTCATCATGCTTCGCCATAAATAAATTTATTCCTTCGTTGTTGTGCATTTATCTAACGAAACTGAGAAAAAGTGGAGTCGATCGATGTGTTATTTTCAAGAACGTTAACTAAATTTACGGGGAAACATGCCAAACATTGAAAATAGAATGGCGGAAACAATTTTCTCTGTAGCCTAGCTCTCACTGGGCGCTGCACGCCATTAAACGCATCCACGTCGTTCGATAAACGATATTTTTCGAAAGGAAAGCGGAGAAAGAGGAAAAAAAGAAGAAGAAAAAAAAAAGAACGCGAAACAAAAATCGACAGCGTGGTCCGCGAGAAAACGATCCGCAAGAGGGCACTGGCCGGGTGAATCGAAAATCAACGTTGCATCGACGACCTTTGTCCCCGGGACGAGAGAACACCTCAATTACTTCGGCTTTCGGGGCTTTGCTGATACACGTAAATTACAGACGTGACCGAGGCTCGCCTCCCCCTCCCTCCCCCCTGGGGGACAGCAAATTCGCATGGTCAGTGCTAAGGTGCAAGTACAATGGCAGCACCGGCGAACAGAGAAATTGTACCACCAATGAAATATCCGCTGTCGTCCGGCATCGGCCGAAGATTTGTCAAACGGGAATTGATTTAGGTTCGAGGACGGGGAAGGGAAAGGGGTGAGGGGTTAATCCTCGAGGGAGCTGGCAGCAGCAGCTTGGTTTGCCTTGGAATTCGTTCGATCGCGACGCAGCCAGCCGGTGTTCTACGCAAATAAATCGAGACCCTTTATGTCGGTCAAAGGACACAAGCCTCATGTTTTATTCCGCGCCGTTCCAAATCGTTCGACGTATTGCCCGTTGCCCTCCGCTTTAATATTAATTCTCCATGTACTTTCGCCTGGAGTTCCCTCCGCTGGAAATTGTACCATCGTCGATGCTGCTTTCTTTTCTTTTCTGTTTCCTTTCGGCTGTTTTTATTCACTTGCTTGTAAGTTGAATGTGTACTTTCGCAGGAGGAATGAAAATCTGCGCGATTTTCCTTTCAGTTTATCATCGTCACTGGTTTTGTACGTCAGCATCATATTTATATCATAAAATTCGATTGAATTGTATTTTATGCAAAATATAATTTTATACTTCGTCGATCGAATTTCCTTCACGATAACATTTAATAGACGTGTATCTTCCGGATCGATTTAATTGCAAACTTTTATATCCTTCTCTCGTTGATCACGAATTCCAAAAGCATATTTTCGAATTGAATGATCCCGAACGAAATAAAGATACGCGCCAATTCGAGTTAATAAATTACGTGTTGAATCTGTCAAATTTATTATTTTCACATAATTAGTAATTGCAGTTTTACTAATCCTTTAATAATTCCATTGTTCGAGATCTTAATTGAGATATATTTTGATGGACAATTTACAAACGTATATTTTTTGCAGTTTCCGTGAAATGAGAATTTAATTACGTCATCTAGGAATCCAGATTTACTCTAATCGAGATCCGAGTTGCGTTGCACCAAAGCGTTTCCTTAATTGGATTATGTAATAAAAATTATTATCATACCGTACACGGATTCCGGATTACGTGACGCATTTTTTCTCCCTTCTTTCTTTTTCTTTTTTTTTTTTAGGAGAACATATCATAATGCTTGTACAGCCACGAAACGAGCAGCCCTAATTACACAGGAAGCCAGCTGTGCCATCGTTTGATGTCGCAAATGATCTGAAAAACAGCTGTGCTTGCGAAATATCCACGTACGTTTCAAGAATTCCCGGCCAAAATGTAATGTAAAAAGTTTTTTTTCGAAAATTTCTTGGTACGATACAACGAGATTCTTCATTTCTTTCCGTGATTTTGATACCTCGAGCATGATCCTTCATCTCTCTCGACACGATTTTTGATTTCTTTGAAGACGATACTATCCTATCGATAATGATGAAAACTGAGACATTCAGTACGAAACAAACAATTAAAAATAACTTGAAAAACACTCGACAGCAAACGAGACGAATAATTAAAAATAATAATGTACCTCGATGTATCAATAGTGAAATTTTATATCATGTAAAATATCATGTTTACATTATGTCTCACAATATGTTCGAGTATTTTTTTCACAAGCTATCAACGAAGATTTGATGCAAACGACATTACAAATTGTCAGACGAATCGCGAATGGTAAAATGACATCTCATCTCATCTCAGTAGCTGTAGTCGGATCTAACTCATCCTTGGGGTACGATTCGTTCAATTTTAATAAACATTCGAATGAAGCAAATTGTCCGAGGCAGCCGAGTCTCCGTCTGCAAGTTGCCTTTTTATGGGGCTTTATCTCTCGCCATAAAGCCGGGGGAACAGAGGGTAGCCAATATCGTGAAAATGTTGCTTCCTCGTCATAGAAGTCCTCGGTTGTGCCATAAATAAAGAGAAACACGATTTCCAGCTAACGTGCTCGTCGTTTCGTTCATCCTGACCTCCATTAACCCTTCGTACGTGATGGGGGCCGCGATTCCCCTTGGAACCTCGGATAAATACCTCTGGCTAATGGTCTCCCGAATGAGATCGGAAACAGTTACCATGAAGCGCTTTGATACCTTGAGAATGACCACTAAAACAAACGCGTGTCTGCAATTATCACTCGCGCGTTTACAATGCTCGTTGAGTCCGTTCGACAGATTCGCCGATTCCTTGAAATATTGTTCGTTCGATTGTAAGAGGCTAGCGAGCTACCTCTCCTCTCTTCTCTCTCGTCAGATAGATCGACGTGCGGTAGAATTTCAATTTAGGGAAACGAAATTGTAATTGGTGTTTCGATCGAGTGAACACCTTCTTCTGTTGTCGCCTAACGAGTGATTTCATAAATCGCAATGGTACGTACAATCGTTCGTTGGTGTTCAGTCGATTATGCAAGTTCATCGCGATTGTGATTCAAAAAATTGTCCAAAGAACTCTCGGTTCACATTGGAAACTGTGCGTTTCTAAAAATTCTTGCTCATTACCGCGTCGTCTTTATCGTCGACCCAATTCACTTACACACCACGAATCACTGTACGAACGAGCAGTTCCAGCTTTGCTAAAACCATGGAAATAATTTTACTTTCAAAACGCCGTTCAATTTTCAGACACGATTCTCCCAATCACCTAAAAGTCCTGCGTTCGAGAAGTTAGAGTCGAAATCGAGAGAATTTGTATTCCTTAGAAGCAACGGTGATAATCACTGAAACGAGAGAGCGAAGTCCGAACGATCGGAGAGAGAGAGAGAGAGAGAGAGAGAGCAATGCATAGCAACGAATGCAAATTTTCTCGCAGGCGATAAAATCGAATTCTCGAAACAGCAGAATGAAATTAATATTGCCCGTTTCGTGCATCTGTTTCCTTTTCGAGCAGCGAACAATCGACGCCAGCGAGTTTCGAGAGAGTATTTCCTGGCGTCCGAACGATGCCCGAGAAGAAGGCGAAAACGAGCAATTCTCGTTCGAGCGTATACGATGATTCATCGCGTTAATAGATATCCGGATTGTACAATTTTGAGAATGGTTCGCCGCGGAGAACTTTCAACGAATCGACCGTGCAAAACGCATCCGGGGAAATTCTCATTTCGCGGTAAATGCTCGCGGCGAACGTTCTTACCGCGGGAAGTCGATAACTGTTACGAACCGAACTGCTCGTGTCTTCGAAACATTTCGCAGAATTAACAGCAACGTAATCGCGGCCTTTACAATCCACTTGCAAATGAGATGGCAACACAACAGCCTCGACAGTTCGTACAAACGAATCTGCTCGACAATGCCGCGGTTTCTGTGAAACTCTTTTCACGATGACCTTTCCTTACAAATTTCAGAGGATCTCTGCTTCGCTGTGATCCTCTTGTGGGAAGTGGGACACTTTGTTCAATCTCGCAGAACGTGTCTCAATTGTGGAAATGTACTGTGGCATTGTTAATAGTGAATGCGATAGCCAATAAATATGTAGACTTAATAGTTTGAGACAATTGGACCCGATTCGAGTAATTTATTCCATCAAAAGTAAAATTTTCGATTGAATATTTTATATTCTCAGTGAATATAAAAAAGTACAAAGTGTTTTATGAATATTTATTACATTTTCCTTCGTTTCACTGCTCTCGAAGAAATAGACAAACCCGAGCTTTTGTCAAATAAAGGCAAAAAATGGTACGCGAGGCAAAAAACCGCTTCAACATTTACTAGAGTGAAAACTTTAGAACGATCGAGAAAGTCCTCGCGATGAACGTACAATGATACATGCGTACGTAACATGCTATTAAATGGAGGGATGAATGAGTTAAAGTTGAAATAAAAAAAGACGAGAGAGAGAAACAGAGAACGTTTCGAACAGAAAATTACATTTCAGTTACCGTACAGGCTGAATGGAAAAAGTCATGCGTACTCGGTTGAGCCAAGATAATCAAGAGTTGAAACATTGAAAATATTTAAAACGTTTCAGAGAACACTCAAGATACTTTAAACGAAACCGGTTAGCGCAACGTCATCGACCACTCATCGGCGGGATCCATCGGATAAATCGCTCCCGTCGGTTAAATCAGCCGGACGAAGCCATAAATTCCCATTTCTCCATAATGCGAAGTTCAGCCATCAAATTTTCAGCAGGCTGCGCCTCCGTCCTCCGTTCGGCGTCGGGAAACAATCCGCGTAGTCGGCTGGCCGCCGATATCGACGAATCGCGCGGCCGCGAGAGCTCGATTTCCCTAGATAACG